GGAGAGGGGGAGGAAGATGGAGGAGGATGTGGAGGAGAGGGGACGAAGGAAGAGGGACGGGGATGGAGGACGTGGAGGTAGGACCAGGATGGAGGACGTGGAGGTAGGACCCGCCCGCCGATTTTCCCCGGGCGGAGTCGAGCAGATCGCAGGGATAGAGCGGCCACAGGAAGGGGGGGGGGGGGCAGCGAGCTCAGACCCCCTCCTCCTCCTCCTCCTCCTCCTCCTCCTCCTCCCCTCCTCGTCGTCTTCCTCCACCTCCTCCTCCTCCTCCTCCTCCTCCTCCTCCTCCTCCTCTCTCCTCCTCCTCTTCATCTCCTCTTCATTCTCCCTTCTCCCTCCTCCCTCTTCCCTCGTCCTCCTCCTCCTTCTCCTCCTCCTCCTCCTCCTCCTCCTCCTCCTCCTCGTCTTCCTCCTCCTCCTCCTCCTCCTCCTTCTCCTTCTCCTTCTCCTCCTCCCCCTCGTTCTCATCCTCCTCCTCCTCCTCTTCATCGTCCCTTCTCCCTCCTCCCTCCTCCCTCCGCCCTACTCCCTCCTCCTCCTCCTCCTCCTCCCTCCTCCTCCTCCTCCTCCTCCTCCTCGTCTTCCCCTCTCCTCCTCCTCCTCCTCCTCCTCCTCCTCCCTCCTCCTTCTCGTCTTCATCCTCCTCCTCCCCTCCTCCTCCTCCTCCTCCTCTCCTCCTCCTCCTCCTCCTCCTCCTCCTCTTCATCCTCCTCTTCATCCTCCCTTCTCCCTCCTTCCTCCTCCCTCCTCTCTCTCTCTCTCCTTCGTCCTCCTCCTCCTCCTCCTCCTCCTCCTCCTCCTCCTCCTCCTCCTGCTCCACCACTCCTGCCGCCTCCTTTGCAAGGAGAAGCACCCGGGAGTCGCACGCCAGGCCAGGCTGCCGGCGGCCAGCCCTCGGGGCCTGGCGGCCCACAGAGGTCTCGATATCTTCCCGCGGTTGGTGCCGAGGGCTCTGGGGGCTCATGCCTCGTGGTAGGCGCAGATCGAGTAGGGCGTTGACTGCAGATCCGCCCGCCGAGTCCACGAAATAGCGTGGCATGTCCGTAGACCTACGAATGCTCTGCATAGATTTGCGCAGATGACGAGAAACAAATTGGGGAACTCAACTATGTAGTCGGTCTCCTACTCGAGCAACGGGCGCAGCTGCTGCTGCGCCTGCGTCCAGATCTGGGAGGGGGATGTAGTCGCCAGGCTGGGGTGGGCGCCGTCGACGGAGCAGACGCAGGATGGCCCCGCAGGTCTGAGCCCCCCGGGGACGCCGTCGGGCACCTGGGCCCGCAAGGAAGCACGGCCAACGACGGGAGGCTGGCCCCCGGATGGGGTCGAGAGCCCCGAGAGCCCCGGGGTCTTGTCGCACAAAGAGGATCGCGACGCCGAAGGCTTGGGAAGCTGGCCTGATCGCCAGGCCGTCGAGGGCGACTCGACGGGGCAGACGCCGGAGGGCCCTCCTCCTCCTCCTCCTCCTCCTCCTCCTCCTCCTCCTTCTCCTCCTCCTCCTCCTCCTCCTCCTCCTCCTCCTCCTCCTCCTCCTCCTCCTCCTCCCCAGCTGCTGCTGCGCCCTGCTGCTGCGTCCGAGGCCCCGGGTCGGGGGTGGACCTCAGGGAGGGAGAGGCGCGGCGGGGGGGGATGCATCGACCCCCGGGTCGCCCGTGAATCGCCGATGTGGGGCCCGATTGCCCACCCCGCTGAGGAACGTGCGGCTTCGCCATCGGGGGCCTAACGCCAGTCCACAGTCGTGGCGCTGAAGAAGGAACCCTTTTCGTTGTGGAGGGGCTCGGTGTTCCTTGATTGTTTTACAGTTTGCCTTGGGTTTTCCTTAGGTTTCCATGGGAAATCGAAGTTGAACTTATGGAAAAAAAGGGGCCTCGTTCCTTATTTAGGGTTCCTTAGGTCAGCGCCCCGACGGTATCGTTGATGTATCGCCGATTTCAGCTGACTGTTCCCCCCCCTGAGCAAGTCCCCCCCGTCGTTCCCCCTTACTGGCGAGATGATCTGATCGCTGGTCGGTGGCCTGCGATGCGGCCAGTCAGACACCGACCCTGACTTCAGATCCACCCTACTTTGGGAGATTTCGGTAGTAGTGCGTTAGATTTCTGCCATGCTTTTCAAGCTCCTTTGATGCTGATTTCCGCCCTGCTTTGCCATCGCTGCTTCCGCCACACCTTCGCGGAGATGTTCTCCCTGCCTTATCCGAGGTCAGAGGATAGTCCGCCCTGCTGTTTCGCATCGCGTGGGGTGCAGTTTCGACACAGCTGAAGTCAAAACGTCAACCGAAATACAGTCGGGTCGCTGAAGAAGGAACCCTTTTCGTGGGGGAGAGGCTCCTCCGCGTTCCTGAAGTGTTTCGCAGCTTGCCTCAGGGTTCCTTGTGTCTTCGATCGGAAATCGAAGTTCAGCTTATGGAGACAAGGGGCCTCGTTCCTTATCTAGGGCTCCTTAGGTCAACGCCCCGACTGTGGGCCGGATTTGGAGTCAGGGAGGCCGTGGCCAGCGATGCGGCCGGTCGGACGCCGAGGCCGGCGCTCCTCTCGTGCCCGCCGACGCGGAGGGGGCGAGCGCGAGCACCGTGAGCAGCTGGGCGTCTCGGGCGGCCCGGCACCTGGGCGCGGCCTCGCTGCCCGGCCTCGTGTGGGGGTGCTCCACGTGCCTGCTCTGGCTGTCCATGACGGCGCTGGCGCTCTTCCAGGTCCTCCTACTGCTCCTCCTCCTCCTCCTCCTCCTCCTCCTCCTCCTCCTCCTCCTCGCCCAATGTCTCAAAGGAGGAGGACGTGCCGATACCGCTGCTCTTCCCTCGTTTCAGATTTGTTGGACCTCCTGGGAAGCCCTCGTCGCGACGGCTGGATTCGCCTCGAACTTCTGGCCAGAACGCATCTAGGGAGAAGTCCGGGGTGAAGCGGTATCGGGACCGTTCGTTCTCCCCAAAGTCCTCCTCATCTCCTCCTCGTCCTCCAGTCGCAGACGAATGTCATCAGTCTGGGCTACCTGGTGCTGATCATACTGGACGTCTTCGCTTCCCAGCGGGCAGCAACGCAGGATCAGCCTATTCGGAGGCGTATACGGGTGATCAGGTTCATCCGGTACTTCAACTTGACCATCTTCGCAGCTTGGACGCTGTTCCAAAGTCCTCTGGTGCCCTGTCCGAAAGCTCTCCTTCTCCATCATGGCGACTCGGGGGAGTTCACCTCCTTTACGTCTCCACTGCAGTGCTTCGTCCTGGAGACTTGCTCGTCCCGTGGGGTCCTGTCGGAAGAGTGCCAGGAGGTCAGGAAGCGCGTGGACTGGAATGCGGGAGGGAAGTCGTTCAGCCCTGAAGGAGAATTCACCATGTCAACGATTCTCAGCATCTTCCTTCAGGTGATGGGTTTTCACAAGAGGATGTCCGTGGCAGGCGTCGACCAGTTCGGCCTACTCAACCTCCTCGTTTTCGTGTTCGGCACGATTCAGGCAGTGATCTGCTCCACGTACGGGAGCGATCTCGAGCAGGAGATTGAGGCAGGAAGGCGTGTTCTCGAGAGGCACGCTGAGGACCACCGGGCAAATCCAGCCTCCAGACACCGACCCCGCCCTCCAGGGGGAACTGGGGTCACTACAGTTACGCCGATCATGAAGAGACATCTCGTCGTCGCCTTGGCCCAGCGTTTCTTCGGCGGCCTCGGCCGATCAGACCAAATTTTTGAGCCCACTGCAAAGGCACGGGGCAGCGCGCGCGAGGCTGGCCCAGTGTTTGCTCAAGATGGTGATCGAAAGCCGGCCCAGGTTTCTTGGGACATCCGCTTCTTAATCATAGCCTTGGTTGTATGCTTGTTTGGGGAGATGCGGCCGCTGTCTGCAGTCCACCTGTCTACCACCCCCCCGCCTCCCTTCCGAGATCCGACTTGGCGAACAAATCTTGCGCAAACCAAGACCAGAGGCCTCGACCCAGTGCTCGAGACTCGAGCCAGACCAGTCCGTGAGACGCGCCTCCGCGGGCGCGCTGCGGCGGCCCTCTCCGCGCTCCTCAGCCCCGTCGGCCCCCTTCGCGTCCCCATCCGCCTCGTGTTTGCCCTCGTCCTCCTCGCCTGTTCGCAGTCCCCCTCGTTCGGGGGCCACACGCGAACCCTACCCCTCCCCCCCACGATTTCTGAGGGGGGGGGGGTTCAGAAGTCGTGGGGGGTGGGGGTAGGGTTCGCGTGCGGCCCGCTACTCGCGGCAGGGCCGGTGGACGAGCCAGCTTCTGGAGCGGGAGCCCGTAGGACCAGGCGCGCGGGGGAGGCCGCGTAAAACCCAGACCCCCGACGTAATGTTTTTTTCATTACGTCGACCCCCAGAGGTCCCGACCCTTTCCCCATGACCGGCTTTGCATCCTGAGTCGTTTTTTGACGCTCCCGAGGCCCGGTGAGGGCCCCAGGAGGCGGAAGAATAGGAAAAACCTCCCGTCATGATTTTTTCATTACTCGAGGGGGTCTGGGAAGGTGGAGGACAGGGGGGCGCGGCGCAGGCGCTCGCCGTGGTTTTTTCTCGGGCGGCGCCCGGGGCGGCCGCGCGCCGCGCCACGCGTTCTCTCCCGCCCGGCAGGTGGGCCCCAGGCCTCCCCTGACTCCGGATCCGCCCTACTTTGGCTTTTTTTCCAACTTAAAATTGCGTCGGAAATCCACCTATAAGAGGCCGAAAAAGTAGGGCGGAAATTGCTGCACCCAACATAAAATAGGGCGGAATTCCACAGAAACAGCAACAGAAAAGTAGGGCGGAAATTGGCATCAGCGGGGCTCGAAAAGTCAGGCGGAAATTCCAAGCCCTACTTACGAATTTCCCCAAAGTAGGGCGGATCCGGAGTCAGCCTCTCTCTGGTGGAGCGCGCCCTGGCCAGAGTGTTGAGTCGGGCCTGCCCCCCTGCAGGGGGATTCTCGACGACAAATAATAGAATGCCTTCAAAATAGCCCAAAGATATCAAAACAAAAATCCGCAGACTATTTTTGGATCATTTTTGTTGCCTTTCTGAGGCATTTTTGGGGCATCTTTTATTTTTCGTCGAAAATCCCCCTGTGGGGGGACACGCCCGACATAGCCAGAGTGTCACTCTGGGCCTCCGGGACCGGGTCCGAGTACCCAGACGCGGTCGGAGGATCGCGCTGGGGTGCGTTCGGGCCAGGATTTCGAGGCGAGTCTGGCCGTGGCGGCGAGGGCCTCCACGGAGGCCATCGAGAGGCGAAGACGCGGGAATGCTGGCGGCATCGATGCCTTATCCCTCCTTGGACCAGATGGGGTCGGAGGATCGCATCGGCGACGCGGCGCGATGAGGGGTCCACTTTTCTCCACGCCGACGCCGCCGATGCATCGCCGATGCATCGGCGATGCGGCGCGATCCTCCGGCCCCATCTACTCCGACTCCACATGGGAGGCCTCTGGTGTCGAGGTGGACCCGGCCGTGGCCACGAGGACCCGCGACTTCCTCCGAAGACCTCCGGTCACGTGGCAGCTTCGGGAGGCCTCGTCTGTCGTGCGAACTGCTGCCCTGCCTCGTCCGACGCGGGTTCTGGCGCGGATTCGGCGCGGCGACGACGTGGATCCGACGCGGACTCGACGCTCGACGTGGATTCGACACGGCTTCGACGCGGATAGCGGCGCGACGGGACAGGCACGGCCCCCCGAGTGTGCAGTGTGATTCCGGAGAGGAGTACGTCGCCTACACCCACAAGCTGCGCAGCCTCGAGGTGTCCCGGGTCGACACGAAGCACCGGATCTTGCGCTCGAAGCTCCAGGCTCGGGCTCCTTGAGAGCGACCTCGTCGTCGCCGCCGCCGCCGCCGCCGCCGCCGTCGTCGTCGTCGTCGTGGTCGTCGTCGTCGTCGTCGTCGTCGTCGTCGTCGTCGTCGTCGCCGTTCGTGGACGGGAAAAATGTCCACATCCACGGCCTCGCGGGCCAGGCCCCTGGAGCGCAAGCTCATGGATGCGGGGCGTTTTGGTCGCGGACGCCCCGCGCGCGGAGCGTGTCCGTGCGACCGCGTGTCCGGGATCGCGCTCTCGTGGGGATTCGCGAAGGGGTGCGAGATGCTTGTGACCCAGACCCCCTCGAGTAATGAAAAAATCATGACGGGAGGTTTTTCCTAATTTTCGGCCTCCTGAGGCCCTTACCGGGCCTCGGGAGCGTCAAAAAACGACTCAGGATGCAAAGCCGGTCATGGGGAAAGGGTCGGGACCTCTGGGGGTCGACGTAATGAAAAAATCATTACGTCGGGGGTCTGGGGACCACGTGCGGCTGCACCCGCATTTTGACACCACCACGACGCGCAGCCCCCCCCCGCCCTACATCCAGGTGCTGCTCTCGATGCTGCGGCACCCCAGCTCGACGTGTGGGAGAGGGAGTTGTGCGAAGCTCGGAAAATGCCTTGTGTTCGCAGTGGCGGTTTGCGGGAGATGATTTCCAGACAGCTCGCATGATCCTGTCCACGCACTGTCGTGGGTCATCGCGTGGTCGGGGTCGTGGTCCTCGTCGTGGTCCTCAGTCGTCGTGGTCTCAGCCGTGGTCCTCAGTCGTCGTGGTCCTCGTCGTGGTCCTCGTCGTGGTCTCAGTGCGTCCTCGTCGTGGACCTCGTCGTGGTCCTCGTCGTGGTCGGGGTCGTGGTCCTCGTCGTGGTCCCAGTCGTCGTCGTGGTCGTGGTCCTCGTCGTGGTCGTGGTCCTCGTCGTGGTCTCAGTCGTCGTCGACTGCCCCGGAGGGGGCGCGCAGGGTCCAGCAGGGGGAGCGACACCTCACGAGCGGAGAGAGCGGCCTTCTCATCGGGACCGCTGTCTGTTTGGGGCAGTGGGGGAGCCCTCCCAGAGGATCGAAAATCTCCCAGAGGATCGAAAACCTCCAAGGTATTGTTTTTATCGAAAACCTCCCAGAGGATCGAAGCCCTCCCAGAGGATCGGAAACCTCCCAGAGGATCGAAAACCTCCCAGAGGCTCGAAGCCCTCCCAGAGGATCGAAGCCCTCCCGGAGGATCGAAAACCTCCAAGGTATTCTTTTTGATCCTCCGGCGCGTAACGGTCGTTAGCCGGGCCAAGCCCCTCCTCCTCCTCCTCCCCCTCCTCCTCCTCCTCCTCCTCCTCCTCCTCCTCCTCCTCCTCCTCCTCCTCCTCCACAATTACACAATATGAAAATACTCTCCCACTTCCCCTGATGGCGTCCGGAAGATATTCGGCACCCCCCCGCGTACTGTTTTTTTACACACAGGATTCCCCGGAGTTGGGTTTTCGCTTGTGTTTTTTTCTAAAATGCTGCTCTCGCCGAGGCGCCGGCCTCATTTTCGGGCCCCGCTCGTTCCGAATCGTGCTCCCGCTGCAGCGCTGGCCTCATTTCCGTGCTTCCGCTCGTTCCGACTCGTGCTCCCACTGCAGCGCTGGCCTCATTTCCGCGCTTCCGCCCGTTTCGACTCGTGCTCCCGCTGCAGCGCTGGCGTCATTTCCCGTGCCATGCCACAGCACACGCGCACACACGCACACACACACACGCACACACGCACACACGCACACACGCACACACACACGCACACACGCACACACCACAAACACACACCACCACCACACCACCACCAGCACCACCCCACCACCACACCACCACCACCACCACCACCACCACCACCACACCACCACCACCACCACCACCACCACGACCACCCACGCACGCACGCACGCACGCACGCACGCCACCCACCACACTAGTCCGCGGATAGAGAAATCAACGCCATGGTAAGGGATGGGAGGGAGGGGTAGGACGTCAGATATGACGCGCGCGCACCTAGCTTGTCCTCCTCCCCCTCCTCCTCCTCCTCCCCCTCCTCCTCCCCCTCCTCCCTCTCCTCCTCCTCCTCTTCCTCCTCCTCCTCCTTCTCCTCCTCCTCCTCCTCCCCCTCCTCCCCCTCCTCCTCCCCCCCGCTCCCGGGGAATGGTGACGATCGTGCGCCACGCGGGGTCTTGGACCCCCCCACATGCCGGTGCCGGCGTGCAGACTATGGCGATCGCAGCGCGCCCCCGTCCCGACGCGCTCCACCGAGTGTCCAGGCGCTACCTGTACTCGGCCCACTCGCCCCGTCCCCCCCCCCGCCTCGGGTCCCAGACCCCCTCGAATTATGAAAAAATCACGACGGGAGGTTTTTCATTATTTTTGGCCTTTGGGGGCCCTTACCGGCCCTCGGGACCGTCAAAAAACGACTCAGGACGAAAAGCCGGTCCCGGGGAAGGGGTCGGGACCTCTGGGGGTCGACGTAATGAAAAAATCATTACGTCGGGGGTCTGGGCCCCCGCCTCGGGTAGCGACCGTTGCCGGACATGAGAAGAACAATATCCCAAATACATGGTCGACGTCCACTTGGGAAGTTGCTCCCCTCCATTCTGGAGGTTTTTGTTCGTTCGACGTCGATGCCGGCCGGGCCTCTGAAGTGGAGGTTTTCGGTCCGATCTTCTCGGCTCGCGGGCTGGACGCAGCTCGAACGTTTGCCGGGGCGGCGTCCAGGAGGGGCTTGCTTGGAGGCCGCTTTGGAGCCAGAGCGACCTTTGACAGCCAAGACGTTGACATATAAGGACCACGGCGGACTCAGGGGCCGTTGCTTAGATCCATCCAAGTCGGGGAACTGAGAACTAAGATCGACAACACCCCAACATACTTATACTATATGTGCGTCGCCCCCCCAGGGGCGACGCGCGCACCGAGAAATCTTATAGTACATGCGTCGTGGCGGGCGCATCCCGGCCACACCGCTCGGGAAACGATATACTACAAGATGGGTATACTATATGTTTGGGTCGGACGCGCGCCTCCAAGGAGAACATCTAGTACTAGTATGTCTTTGTGCATCCCATAAGATTCTTCCCAGGTCTGAGCCTCTGGGGGCCGCTTTCGGGAGCCCGGGCCCGCCAGGAGAAGCGTCCCACGACGGGAGGCCAGCCCAGGGGTGGGGTCGAGAGCCCGAGGGTCTTGTCAAAGTGCTCGCGACGCCGAAGGTCTGAGACGTGGATCTCATCACCAGGCCTTGATGAGCGATTCGACCGGGCAGAGGGGATGGGCGAAGCCGCTTCTGCGCTTGCAGGGTCCAGGAAGTTGGTTTGATCGCCAGGCTGTGATGAGCGGTTCGATTCGGTAGGGGCAAAAGCGAAGCCGCTTCTGCACCCGCCGGCGTAGAGGGTGCGAGCGCGAGCGCAGAAGGGCGGCATGGGACCCCCAGGGCCTAGCTCGCCCCGCTCGGCCGCACCAGCTGGCCTGAGCCAGTCGGGAGTCGATGATCTTCTGGGCGCGTATTAGCCAGTGCATGTCTACTCCGTTGGCCCGCGCCCTGTCTCCCCAATTAGTGCTTTGCGCGGCCCGCCTAGCTCTTAACCGGAAGAGGCTCGCTCTCGACCCGCAGACCAAAAAGTCTACTCCGCTGACCTCCACCGATGGCACGCTGCCTGTGCCGTCCCTCTCTGCACCGTGTCGTTTCGAAGGGCTTCGGTGGACAAGCACACATTGGTGCTAGCACAAGCTGAGATCCGACGTCAGAGCATCCCGAGTCATCGCAACAGGAACTCTGAATCTCTTTCGGCACTTTTCGAGCCGGCTCGATCTGCGCTGGCTCCGAGGCCCGGCAGCGGGCGAAAACGCTCGGCGCGAAGAGATTGCAGAGCGCCAGGACCTCGGGGTCTGCTTCCGAGCTTGGTTTTCGGGCCATACCTCGGGCCGCCAGCAGCCGTTCGGAACGACCCGGGCACCCCCGGAGCGCTCTCGGCGAGGCGCAGCTGCTGGAGAGAGTCCCGAGGCGAGAAAAGATCCAGGAAGCAACGAAAACGCCAGATAAACGAGAGGACCTGGTGTCGCACCTCAACGAGCTGCACGGCCTGAGGATGGGCCGGGCGGAGCTGTCGGAGTGGGAGCAGGGCGAGCGCGAGAGGCAGCGGGAGCGCAGGGTCCACGTGCTGGACTTGTGCCTGCAGAGCGGCGGCGGCTATCAGGACGCGGCGGCCCGGCGGGGACGACTGCGGCCACGGGACGATAAGGCTTCGCAGGCGAGGAAGGGTACAAAATCAGCTTTTCCGCCGCCGGACGCCCGCCCCAGGGCGGCTGGAAAGGTTATACCCTTCCGGTGGCACGTCGGGGTATGGACTTTCCAGCCTCCGTGGGGCAGGCGTCCCCGACGGCGGAGCAGCTTATCTGTATCATTCTTCGTCGGCTAAGAGGCCCCAGATTCAGAAAGACAATGATCGGGTTGGGAGGATGGGGTTGGAAGAAATGATCATATGTCGCCGCGCCGTTTCTACCGACGCGAGGCCTTACGTCTTGGGGATGGCGCCTCGGCCACCAGGGCAAACTCCGCTTCGTATGCGGTGGGCTTGCCGTGGGGTTTGCCGCGGTGCTGGCTTCGTCTATTTGGGCGCGGGACGCAAGGCTTGCCGTGGTTTTGCCGTGGTGTCGGCTTCGTCCACTGGGGCGCGTCGAGGACAAACGGCGCGGCGACGGATTATAAATGTGACCACGTACCTTGAAGGTGCTTATTACACAGTCGTACCCTGTACCTTCCCAATCCCTTCTTCCCGACACGATAGTTGTCTTTCTCACACACGTATTGTAGCGCACCGGGGAAATCGGGACATTTTGCTAATGCCTCACGGTCGGTGCCGCCGACCCTGGACGGCGACACCCACGCTAGAAGAGGCATTCGGGAAGGTCGGGATCAGACGCTCCCAAGAGCGCCCAAGAGGCTACACGAGGCCTCCAGGAGGTGCCCAATAACACCCACATTTTTTTGGGGGGGTGCCTTGGGAGCTTTTTGGACGACGAGACCCCAGACTTCACAGCGCATCGGGAAAATCAAGAGGTATTCGTTTCATCGTTATCAACGGCCTGGTTCGGTAGCAAGTCATGGAGGCCCTGCAGGTCCTCGACGATCCGTGTGTAGACGGCATGAGCGTGCGCTGGCGCCTGGCAATCGGTGAGAAAGCGCCGATCTCGCCACGGTGGGCGTCGGTTTGGCGTCGACTAGCGTTGGCTAGCGTCGATTCGCCAGAGCTAGCAGGATGACATGGAAGGCTTTCAGGAGTTGCCGCGGAATCCTGAGGCCCCCGGACCAGCCAAAAGCAATCCGTGGGCGAACATCGGAGGAGCAAGAGGTCATAGATTTCGATGATTTCCCAGATTTCCTGATTTTCCACAGGGGCTGCAGAAACGATGGCCGCTGGATAATCCTGAAACGCATCTGGAGCCACTCCTGTTATGACATGAGTTCCGTCATAGAGAAAACGATCCGCGGGAACCGGTCCCGAGCTCTGGAAGTCCCCGCACGGGGACAAGCCACGATCTCGTAGGTGTAGGACTACCGCGGCCTTCGTCAATGCCCTGAGATCAGGGCGCTGCATTATTTTTTTCATGCCGGGCGCTTTCGCCAGATTGCGGGCACGGGGACCACAGATCGATGTGGCTCGAAAAGTGCCGCAGAAAGGTGGTGTCTATTGTTCTGGCCGTGTTTTTTGTTGAGTTGCAATGTTGTGCAACTTCTCGCATCGTCGGATCTCAGGGTGTGGTAATCGGCCCCGAGCAACGCAGGTCGCCCCCGATCTGGTCATTGACAATGTCGGTCGACAGATATATAATGGGGCCCTGTCGCTCACGCAGGCGTTACGACGATCCTGGTGTACTTTTTCCTTCCGTAGTTGTTCGGCCCGAGTCGTGAGAGAGAGCTCAACGGTTGGGTGTCTCAAGAGCCCACGGGCCAGCGCTGACTTTTACACACGCACCATCGCCTGTTGAAAGACATTGTGCGCCCATCATCTCCAGGGGCTCTGTCCCTCATGCAGAGTTTCTTCTTCTTCACGGGGATGGAGAGAACAAATCTAAGATGGTCAGCGACCACTTGCAAACCCTACCACTGCGGGTCCAATGGACGCTGGGGCATCGGACACCCCCTCTGAGGTCCACTTGGCTGCAGACATCCTGCGAATTTTGAACCCTGGCCGCTCTTTCAGAAGCCTGACCTGCAGGGCTGGGGTCCACATGTGGTTGCCGAAGAGGGCAGTGACAAGCTTCCAGAATCAGGGGCGACGTCAAAAGGGGGACTGCCCCAGGGGGGAATTACGGCCCCCCGTCGCCCATTCCTCTCCGATCCGGGCTTGGGCCCCAACCCCGCCGAGGAGCGTTCGGGCTCGCTGCTGGGAACCTGTCGCCGATCTACAGCCAACCCGCATAGTAAGGATGATCGACTTTCCATCGTTACCCTTGCATCCTTTCCCTTCGGCCCATCCTTGGCCACTTTCGCTGGCTGCGCTCCGCTCGGAAAGTGTCGACATGGCCCTCCAAGGCCCTTGCATCCTTATCGTGCGTCCTTACCATGCGGGTTGACTGCATCGGTGATGCATCGCCGATACCAGGTCAATGCCTCCCCGCCTGGGCCAGACCGCCCCTGTCGTTCCCCCTCGCAGCCCCAGACCTCCGACGTCTTGTTTTTTTCAACGCGGGGCCTCAAGAGCTCTGGACCACCGCGTGGAGTAGCCGATTTTTCGTTCCGGATCCTTCTGTGACGTTCCTGGGGCCCAGCGAGGGCGATTGTTCTGCTCGACGTTCCGATGTTGTTTCTGTTGCTTTGCTTTGCTGTTTCGTTGTGTGTTGCGTGGCGTGTTGTTCTCGTGTATCGCTTCAACGGTCCGCTACAAACAGGGGAGGAGGCCAAACGAACAGAAACACAACGGAATCCCCCACAAGTTTACTTGTTCGTTTCGGGCGGGGGGGCGGGGGACAAACGCATACAAACACAACTTTTGTTTGTTTACTGTGATTGTGTGTTTTTGGCCTCCCAAAACTTTCCCAGGCCCCCTTTCACAGGATTTGTTTTGTGTTGGCGATTTGCAAGGTGATTCCTTTTGCGTGGAGAATACTTTCTGCAGACGTAAACCCGTTTAGTGTCTCGGACAATTCGTTGGGAAGGGTCGCTGTTCGGATTGATTCCGTTGTCTCCTTACTTGCTGTTGTCCCCTCTGGCTGATAAGGAGGTCGGGCTGGCTGGAATTCGAAACTCGATTTCCTTGGAAGGGATCTGGGTTGGGGTATCGCGCCCAAGGCCTCCGGTCCCCTGACTGCCACGTGCGTGCGTTCGCGTGCAGCTGATGGGGCCCGAAGGGCCCTTACAGCCCAGCAGGGAGTCGGGGTTTCACCCCTCGATTTCGGCACGCCCCCCACCGCCCGGCGCGCGATGCCTCCCCCGGGCGATGTTGACCGGGAGCCGGGCGGGAGCCCCTCCCCTCGGCGCTCCCGCTCGCGGCGCCGCCGCGGCCCCCGCAGCCTGGCAGCCGCTGGCCCTGCCGCCCCCGCGAGGGGGCGCTCTCCTCGCGCCCCGAGGCGGGGATGACCTCGAGCCTCTGGAAGAGCCCCGCCGTACGGCGTCGGGATCCCGAACTCCGAGGACCTGCCTTTAGCCCGCAGGGCGTCCCGGAGCAGGAGTTTCTTAGGGTCGCTGGTCTTCTTGAGGATGCTGGCCTCCACGAGGCGTGGCAGTTCAAGTTTGCGACCCGGCCGATCCTCGAGACGGCGTGCCGTGGCCCGCTCACTCTTGAGCTAGATCACCGGGCCTTCCTGCTGGCGGCGGCAGTGGCCCTAGCGCTGCCCCGGTAGGCGCCGACTTCCAGGCGGAGTCCGTCGCCGCACTCCGGGCCATCGCCCGCAGGGCGCGGGCCAGCGCTGCCAAGCAGCGCGGGGACCGCTCGGTCTCCTCCGGCTCAGACGACAAGGCTTCCACTTCGGTGAACGTGCGCAAGGGGCTGAAGCGCTACGGGCTCAACGGCCTGCCGGTGAAGCACCTGCCGCAGGCGGCGCTCCTTCAGCGGCTGCTCCGGCGCAGCCGCCGCAAGGCTGGCCACGGGCGCCTCCCTTGGGTCACCGGCGAACTGCAGAAAGACGTCGTGCCGCTGAAAAGGACGTCGGACGCCACCCTGCGCCCGCCGCAGAAGGGTCAGGCGTTCCAGCCGTTCGCCCACTTCGCCAGCTGCTGGTGCAGCGGTTGCTGCGGCGCCTCCTCGACCTGTGCCACATGGCGCAGGAGCTCGGGGTCACGGTCGCGCACGAGTGCGACCGCCAGGAATGGCTCCGCCTCGGCACGCAGATCGAGAACAAGGACCCCTCGGTGGATCCGGACGCCAGCTTCGAGAAGATCGACCACGGCCTGCGCACCGACGTGAAGGAGCAGAGCAACAGGGCGAATCAGGCCGGCGACAGCTCGGGCCGCGGTGGCTGGGGAGCCGGAAGGGGCCCGCAGGGCCACGCGAGCCAGCCAGCGCGCGGACACGCGGCGTTGGCGGCGGCGCCGCCGCCGCCCCTGGCCCCAGCGCGCGGGCCCCCGCGCTTGCGGGCCAGCCCGAAGGGAGACGGCAAGGGGAGGTGAGCGCCCGCAGGGCGCGGCGAGGCAGATCGCCATGCACCCGGCGAAGCAGGAACGCGCGTTGCGCGTGCGAGTGATGGAGGCCGTGGGCCATCGGATAGCTCTGTGCAATGCTTTGCGCCGCAGGCGCATTTTCAAGATGAACAAGTACACACCTCCTTGCCCCTCCCTCTCCCTCTGCCTGCCCCTCCTCGCCTTCCGCCCCATCCTCCTCTCCCCGCAGGGGACAGCCCGCAGGGCAGGTTTTTTGAACGGCGATGCAGATCGCCACGTACCCGGTGGAGCAGTAGCTGGCGTTGCGCGCGCGAGTGACGGAGGCCGCAGGCCATTGGAGAGCGGCGTGCAATGTTTCGCGTCGCAGTGAACAAGTAGGCCCTCCGCCTTCCTTTCCCTCCTCCTCCTTCCGCCTTCCTGCCCCCCTCCCCGCGCCCCCTCCCTGTGCCAGTCCCCGCAGGGGTCTGCCCGCAGGGTAGGTCTTTGGACGGCGCTCGCCAGAGCTCCGGCGGCAGCTCAGACGGGGCCTCACGCCAGGGCCGCTCTGACTCTCTCGCCAGCGCTACCGCGCAATCCCGCCGCACCCCGCCTCGCCCGGAAGGCGCAAGGCGCCCGCGGCGCCGCGCGCCCGAAGGGGGCAGGCCTGTGAGT